GGGGGGGGGGGGGGGGGGGGGGGGCACTGCCTAAAAGAAAGAGGGGAACAACGAGGGACACGGAAGAAATACAGCGTGGTGTGGTCCCTCACGGTCTTCATACCAAACATGGAACTAGGGCTGCAGGCTTCCAGGCAAAAGTGCTTGCTTCTGGAAGCTTGATGACCAGAGGCAACATCCTGGGGAACCACGTAGTGGAAAGAGAGAATGACCTCTCTCTACACGTGGACCATTTCACACTCCGCGAGCGCGCGCGCGCGCACACACACACACACACACACACACGCACGCACGCACACACACATTTTCTAATGTTTTCTTGCTGTACATCTTGATGCATTCCCTTAATCCCAGCATTCAGGAAATAGAGGTCGGATATCTGTGAGTTCAAAGCTACCCTGGTCTACAGAGTGAATTCCAGGCTAGCCAGGTAGTGAAACCCTGTCACACAAAAAGGAAAGAAAGAAAGAAAGAAAGAAAGAAAGAAAGAAAGAAAGAAAGAAAGAAAGAAAGAAAGAAAGAAAGAAAGAAAGAGGAAGGAAGGAAGGAAGGAAGGAAGGAAGGAAGGAAGGAAGGGAGGGTTAAGATGAAGCCAAGCTTTGTATTTTTGTTTTGTTTTTAAATAAAGAGCTTTCCCTTCGATTTTTTTAAAAAATCTAATTTGGAAGAGAGCAACACCTTAGCACACTGGACAGTAATTTTCAGATTTAGGAAGTTTTACAAATTCCAGACAATCGGATAAAGCAGGCTCAGTATTGAGGTAGCAGAATGCCTGACTTCCCCTTCAGGGAAGGCTGACTGAATAGGGTAATCTAGATATCTACTTGACGAATTGGTGGGTAGATGGATAACCAACAAGTCGTATATAGTTCATTAGTGATCGTCTAGGTGTGGCGAGTATCTGGTGTTTATTGTAAAACTCAACTTTTAGGCTGTTGGTTTTAATACTAAAAGGAGACTCGGGGGATTTATCAACAGACTTGGCAAATCTCCGCTGCGTATTATCCGTGAGATTGGAACAAAATGCTCAATTGTCAACTTCCTGTCTGATGTGTCTGAATTCTCAGGGATAAAACGCTTTTCTGGCCCTGATGAAGGCCATCAGATCAAGAGCGGGGCCCTCTAGAGGTGGGGACAGAAATGCAAGCTACCTTTTGCAAAGTCAGGCATGGGCTGTTGGAACTTTCTGTCAAGTTCAGGTGACCCTCCGCTGTGTCCCGAGGCAGCCAAGTTGTGTGACCGACGCGTAAAGACGACCCAGGAGTCCTTTTATGCAAGACAGCACTCCCCCCCACTCCCCAAAGCCCTTCCAGGGCCTCCCCCAAAGTATCCTGAGAACAGCAGCGAACCAACCATCAGTTTCTTCCAAGAATGCCGGCCACGGCTGCGGCTGCCAAACCTGTGGGGGCCTTAAAATCTTTCTGCGCCTAGAAATAACAGCCATATTTCGACTAGAACACCCCCACCGTGGACTGTTGGCATTTTGTATCAATTTCTTGGCCCAACTTTTTAATATTTTTTAAAATACTCAGTTTTAGGACCTACAACTATGTGATCTTTCTTTTTTTCTCGCTATGACCAAATGGCTCAATTTATCATTTAAAAATCAAGCCATTAGGCCAAGCAATCAGTCGGAGGAGGCAGTGATCTGGAGGCGAGATCAGAACATCAAGTGGAGGCCATAGAATTTTAAGTGTCTCCTAAATGCCTAGAAATGACCACCATGATGCCAGTTTTATTTCAGGAAACGCGGGCCTGACTGCTGAAGAAGGAATGAGGGCTTAGCGGGGTGAAGCGGCGGAGTGTAAGATTCTATGCTAGCCCGAGTACAACCAGCGGGGTACCCCGCAACCAGCACCGGGAACACGCTCCTAGCTGGCAGAAGGCGGCTGGCCGCCAGAGGGGGCGGAGCCTCGCTGAGTCCCGCCTTGGACCTTTGTGACGTAGGACAATGCCTGCCACGCGTCCGAATTCGGTCCTACGGGAGAGCCACACTCCCTTGGACACACTACTGGGCTCACACTAGGCCGGAGGGTCCTGCTTTGGGAACCATGCTTTTCCTAGTCAGACTAGCGGTTTTCCTCAGCCTGTGTGGCTGTTCCAACGCTCAGGGACAAACGAAAGAAGAAGACACAGAGGAAGTGAAAATAGAGGTTCTGCATCGTCCAGAAAACTGCTCCAAAACAAGCAGGAAAGGAGACTTGCTAAATGCCCATTACGACGGCTACTTGGCTAAAGATGGCTCCAAATTCTACTGCAGGTAGGAGATGCTCCGTGCAGCTCAAGCTCAGTCGATACACCGGATCTTGCCCCCATCCCACACCAGCCAGAAGCCAGAAACTGATGCTTCTGTCTTAAGGGGTTTGTGTTTTGGGTTTTCTGTTTTGATTGGTTTTTTTAACAGTAAGTTAAGTCAATATGCCAATTTAGATTAGAAGATAGTACCTAAAAAAAACTGAATGCTTTTAATTGTTGAAAATGTTAGCTCGGTAAATTGACGGCAGACCCACTACATCGCGGGCGTCCTACTGACCACCACCACTGTCCTTGGGACCCCTACAGCTAAATCAAGGCTGCTCGAAAGGATAGTCACACTTTGTTTACCCAGAGCTGAATTCTCTTTCCAAACAGAATGTATTAGAAGCTAGCGCATTTGGTTCTGGTCTTCAGGGGGTCATCTTCTGGCAGAATCCCTGGTAATTTCATCCACCTGGCTCTCCCATCTCTATTAGGTTCTGATTGGGTACCCTTTCTTTAGCTGTACCCTCCAAAGACAGGGCACCCTCCAAAGACAGGCCCGGAGAAAGCAATTCTTTCAAATTTAGAGGGAAACTTATCCTTTCTATTTGGAAGAGAAATTTAACGAGATGTTACTTTCAGTCCTTAAAATGAAATCTGGAGCTCAGCCTGCCCCTTCGGTTTTGGGAAGAAACCCAGAGAAATTAAATGAGTTTTGTTCAAGCCAGGCAGCTAGTTAGAGGCAGGAGACCCGTTTAAAACTTTGACTACTGGGTAGTTTTTGTAAGGATGATGGTGGGACAGAAACGGAATGACTTCCAGCGATCCTTTCTGCCAACACCACAAAGGACGGACTTACGGAAGAATGCGAACACGGGAAAAGAGACTCCAATTTTAAATAAAAACCAAACTTTCTCTCATGACCTCTGCTCATTTAAGTACTAAGTATGGTTTCTTGCAGTCGGACACAAGATGAAGGCCACCCGAAATGGTTTGTTCTTGGCGTTGGGCACGTCATAAAGGGGCTAGACATCGCAATGATGGACATGTGCCCTGGAGAGAAGAGGAAAGTGATTATCCCTCCCTCGTTTGCTTATGGAAAAGAAGGTTATGGTAAGAACCTTTGCCTGCGCACCTTGTTTAGAGCCCCTGTCAACGGCACCTATTTGAACTATCTAATACCTATCGCGGTCAGTTTCCGAAGGGCGATTTTGGCATCCCCCTGTCTCGTAGTAGAGTCGTGGCATCTTTGAAGCCGTTGACTGAGTCTTAAAGAGGTAATCCCCCTTGCCTCTGTTTTTCAGCAGGAGAAGACTGCTGCCCCAAGTGAGATCGAGGAGAGTGAGTGCTTCGAGCTAGTCAGACCTGACATTCCCAAAGAGGTGGTTCCAGATCGCTAAAGCTTCATGCTCACTGCCTTCTGTCAATCGTTTGCTCCCCTCAGAATAGTTCCTAGGACCTGGTGTGTGACTCGTGGTGGGAGAGGGCTTGCTCCCACCACCTGGTTTCATCCTGGCACTGCACTACAAAAGAAAAAGAAAAAAGACAGCCTCCCACGGCATCATACCTTTATAAGCAGTGTGTGTGTGTGTGTGTGTGTGTGTGTGTGTGTGTGTGTGTACATGCATAGGAGCCTGAGAAAAAAAGAAAGAAAATTGAAGATAATTTAAATGCAATACTATCTTCAAAAAGTGGTGAGTTGGTTTCTCCTAGACAAAACGATGTAGGTCAAGTTTGCCCCTCAGTTTCTGAGTTGTCTCATCAACATCCTGCTTACCCTCAGGGTATCCACATCCATCTTCAATGGGCCTAGACCCATTATCCTACAGCAAATGGCTAATTTATCATTTACCAAAACTGGTTTATGCTTAGGTAAGAAGGGCTGCCCAGCTTCCCAAACTACCAAACAAACTATATCCTTTCTGCAGGGAAATAGGCATTCTCACTGACTTTGAGGAGTCTCCAATAAACATCTAAGCAATCTCACTGACACATTTATTTTACTTATAAGAAAAGTGAAGCCTGAAAAAAATACATATATTGGACTGTGGTTACTACCTGTATTACATAGCTTAGAGAAATTTAGCAAAATCTTCTTGATTATGTGTAGCCCTGGCTGGTCTGGAACTCACTCTATAGACAGACAAGGCTGGCCTCCAACTCACAGAGCTCCTCTTGCCTCTGCCTCCCAAGTGCTGGGATTAAAGGTGTGTGCCACTGTCACCTGACTATTATATAGGCTTTTTAAAAATATTTTTATTAATTCTTTTCTTTGAGAGTTTTATGTAGGCACACGATATATTT